GATGCTATGTCATTCTCTCCCTTTCTCTAGTGAACAGCCATCAACATGTGTGTGTGTGTGTGTGTGTGTGTGTGTGTGTGTGTGTGTGTGTTAGATATCATTTGACGTGTTTTCCTTCCTTGAAAGAGTTCATTCAGTTTACATAAAAAGGCTGAGGCCTAGAATTAGGTTAAGAAATGTACCTAAGGCTCCACAGAGTCTCACAGTTCTGTGGCCAGCCTTGGACTGCTATTCCTTCCACCCATGCCTCCTGTGTAACCAGGATGACAGATGTGTGCTATCATGCCTTGATTATTGGTTTGGATTGGGTCTCGCTGACTTTTTTGTTCAGTTGGCCTGAACTATAGTCCTCCAGATCTCTGTCTCTGGAGTAAGTGGGATTCCAGGTGTGAACCACCATGCACAGAGAATTCTTAGGAAGGGCTGTGCAGAAATTTTTTTAGATAAATCACCTTCCAAGCATTGTTTTAGACATTCCTTTCCAAGGAGAACTCTCTTTGGGGTGACCTGAGGAATTGCAGGATCCATGTGGCCACCGATGCAGCTTTCCTTTTTGTTGTTGTGTTTGTTAAATAAGTGGGCCACTTAAAACTTGAAATAATAAGGAAATTAGAATCATCAAGACAAAAGTGATCTGGCCAGTTTCCTTTGTCTCACCAGAATGCTTCAGAAACATCATCTGATCTTCTGAATCCTAGCCCTGGATATCCAAAATTTATTGAAACATTCAAATCTTTGGGGGAGAACTGTTCATATAAAGGTGACTGTTGCTGAGTTAGGTGATGGCTGTCTTTTCCAACCCTGAGTAATAAAATCTTTATTTCTGTTACTGAGACTATGTAGAGATAAGATATCATATCATTATAACACTAAGAATGAGAAATATGCATTTAATTTTTTTTTTTTTTGTCGGCTGTGGGGCTTGAACTCTGGGCCTGGGCGCTGTCCCTCAGCTCTTCAGCTCAAGGCGAGCGCTCTACCACTTGAGCTACAGCGCCACTTCCGGCTTTCTGGTGGTTTATTGGAGATAGGAGTCTCACCGTCTCTCCTGCCCGGGCTGGCTTTGAACCGCGATCCTCAGATCTCAGCCTCCTGAGTAGCTAGGATTACAGGCGTGAGCCACCAGCGCCCGGTGCATTTAATTTTTAAAGGTAGTTTGATGTCAGAAATCCAATTTGTTGCTGGTGTTTTAGGGCAGATTTAATTTATATATATGTATACATACATACATACATACATATATTTTAAGAAACCCAAACCCACAATGTTCTCATCAATACTATCCCTTTAAGTCTTCCTGCTTGCTTTGCATCTCTCTATGCACCTAATGGGCTGCAGCGTGATATTGCTTTTATAAAGCACTTGAGGGAACCTCAGATCATTACTTGGGGAGAGAAGTAAAGGCTGTTTGGAGGTTCTCACTTCATAGTGGAATAAAATTAATTAATTTTATCTCAATATGCCTCCTGTTACATCTGATGAATATGATCTTGAACATGTACTTAAAGTTTGAGCGTTAAGAATTTTCCCAAAGGGGATTGGTTTAGCTGTTGGAAATGGAGTTGCTTATGTTGCGGGTTTTCTGAGTGAGACAATTTTGGTTTGGGGAGTAGAATTGTAGAGGAGGAATGAAAAGTTCCAAGGTCCAGACCTGATGATCAGCCATGTGACTTTGTTGCAGTGGTGCTTTGCCTCAGTTTCTTTGTGTTTTGTGAGGAGGATATGTGGACATTTCTTTCCCAATCTTGATAGATAACCAGCATTTCTCAGGCTGACTCTCTCTCTCTCTCACTCTCTCTCTCTCTTTCTGTATCGAAGATGAAAACATAAAATTTTAGATTTTGAAATAATTTCACACTTATAAAAAACACAATATTAGTACAAGAAGTCCCATATATTCTTCACTCAGATTCTATAAATAACCACATGGTCACAATTGGGAAATTAACACAGAGACAACACTGTAGCCTACAGCTCTAATTCAAATTCTGACAATTGTCTCACAAATGGACTTTTTCTGATCTACGATCGAATCCAGGATCACACATTGCATTTCGTTTCATGTCCTCCTATAGTTCCTTTACCCGGATTAGTTGGATCTACAGTTTGCACTTGGTTTTCATTATCTTGATACTTTTATAGCATACTGGCTAATCATTTCCTAGAAAGACATTCACTGTAGGTTGGTGTGCTGCTTTGTAATGATGGAGAGGTTGTACATTTTGGAAATGATGTTGTATCCTTCTCAGTGCATAATATCAGGAGGTACATGACTGCCTTAGCCCACTACTGGTGAGCAAAACATTTGGCCTTTCAGCTGAGATTCAGACTAGTTTGTTTTGGATGATGGTATTTTCATTCAGATATATGTTGTTCCTTTGATGACTAGGAACTGAATAATAGCAACACGCAGTTGGTTGCTCCACCCTGTAAAGGAAGGATGCCATTAAACATGAATTTAGTGGTAAGTGCACTTATTTGAGATCTAGTTGGGCAGAGTAAGTATTCACAAATGATTAATGTATAAGTGCTGTCATTCTGTATTATACGATTGTCTTTTGCTGTGATTCACAGTAGTCAGAGAGATTTTCTTGGAGGGAGCCATTCAGATCAACAAAGAGCTCTAAACGGACTATTGCTATTTAGTCTGTAGGCAAGAATTCCTGTGATTAGAAAGAATAGAGTGAGAGCTGAACAACAAAAAACAAAGTTTGGAATCTCATGCAAAATAGAAAACAAAATCACATTATGAAAACACACTTACTTATTGTTCTGTAGCATTTTGTTCCTACGGTTAGTCTCTCCCTCTTGCCCAGCGAGTGGTGTGTTCCTTGAAGACAAAGGTGACATCACTTGTGCCCCGGGCAGTGCCTGATACCACTGTGTTATAATTAATTTGTTGAAATAAGATCAGATGTGAGCAACATTCTGAACAAAATAGAGAAATTCTTCCTTTTTTTTTTTTTTGGTCATGGAGCTTGAACTCAGGCCTGGGTGCTGTCTCTGAACCTCTTTGTACTCAAGGCTACTGCTTTACCATTTGAGCCACAGTGCCACTTCTGGCTTTTTCTGAGGAGTTTAGTGGAGATAGCAGTCTCATAGACTTTCCTGCCTGGGTTGTCGTCTTTGAACCATGATCCTCAGATTTCAACCTCCCGAGTTACTAGGATTATAGGCATGAGCCACTGATGCCTGGCAAGGAAGTAGTCTTAAATCTCATTCTGTTGTAGTAGATGCACAATTAATATCATTAACAGGAAAGCTTGGAGAAGCCATCTGCGGATGCAGCATCCTTTGCTCATGTCAGAGGGGGCGGTGAAGCAGTGGTGAGGGAGAAGGGGAGGGGACAAGGATGTGGTGGAGATTGGATAGCATGTGGAAGGATGAGCAGTTAAACCTTCTTAGAGGGACTGAAAGCAGGAAACAGAACATAGGAGGACGTTTTCCATGGTATAGAAGTTGGCCTTGCAGGAGGAAATGAGAGAAAATGGATGCAACGATTGCCAAGTTGGAAAGTATAAGCTATTTTCTAGATGGCTTCAATGGGGTAAAATTGTGTGTGTGTGTGTGTGTGTGTGTGTGTGTGTGTGTGTGTGTGTGTGTGTGAACTGACCCCTAGAGAGTGTCAGCGTTTGAGGAGGGACAAGAAGTGTCCTACAGTGGGGGGGGGGGGGTTGGGGGGGGAGGAGTGAAATCATGACTAAGGCCCAACAAAAGAACCATTGGCAGGTACTCTAGGGAAAGTCATAAGAAAACCACGCAGATTTGTTCCCCCAGTGAAAGGGCTGGAGACAGATGGCAGTGGTTGAGAGGATCAGCAGAAAGAAGGAGAAAGGAGATAGACAAGGGCCACCAGGTTGGCAGGTTAGGGACATGAGTCAGTGGGATGGATCCAGGGGAGGGAGAGGAGCAGGAGAAAGAAGAGGGAAGAAGCATACGTAGACGAATAGAGTCTCAGCCTTGAAGTGCATCTTCTCCATGTCTGTGCCCCTGACCAGGGAAGGATGCCTTGGATACTAAAAAGGAGAGATGTGGCAGTCAGGAGAGTCTCAACCTGGAAGACCCAAGTTTGGCTTTGAGCTTGATGTTCTGGTGCCATGATTGTTTTTCATTTAGACACTATCTGTGTGTGCATGTCTGTCTGCCCTCTGGAACTGCTTCTGAGATGAAATGGAGATACATTTGATCCTATTGTCCATTTTTTTAAATACTAATTACATCATGTCAAAGACCAAAGTCACTTAGCAGATTCCATTTTGACTAGAAGTAAAATCCATGCCTGGTTGGTACCTATAGGCTAAAGAGGGTCCACATAGTTTCAAGTGCCACTAGCTTCTGAGGCTGACCCTTGAGGGGACTGGGTCATTAGTAGTGAAAGACTTGCCAGGGCCTCATGATTGAGTCTTTCTGTAAACAGTTCTGACCCCTTTGAATCACTGCGAGACAGGATTGGAAGTGAGGGTGTATATGAAGCAGAGTCCTGTTAGCTGTAGGCCTCACAGGAGGGCAGTGGAGTTTTCTGAGGTTATAAGTCTTATAGCATAGAACTCTATATTTCCACTTGCATGAAGTGCACACAGATGACATCACCATGGTCCTTTCTGGGATTATTTGGTTCCAAAGTAGAGTGAGAGAGGAGAAAGATTTTTTTGTTTTGTTTTGTTTTTTTTGCTTTGCAGTGCTGCCTAGGGATGGAAAATCCAGCTATGTTCTCTGTCCCTTGGGCCACTGAGCAGCTGACCTGACCTGTTCCTGGCTGATTTTGTGTTACTGACATTCAAGACCCCAGAGTGCCCAGCCTGATTCTCAGCCCACAGCCGTAGCTTCATTTGCTCTGTTATTAGTTGGTGGTTTTCTTCCTTTCTCTTTCTTTTCAGTTCATGTCATATTCACCACCCCACCCCACCCCACCCCACCCTTAAATTGTAATCTATCTTTCTTAGGTAACTGTTCCCTGCTGTTGTTTTTTGTTTTATCTTTCATTGCCTTTTCCCCTACAGTCAACTCTCTGACCTGGGAACTGTGCATCCTTCAAGCAAGCCATTTCCGAAGACGGCGAAAAGAACCCAATGAGCCGACATCTTCTCCTTCTTCTCTTGTTCCTCTTCCTCTTCCCTTGCTTGGCCCCTCCTTGAGTGTGTTTCAGCCAACACCAGAGCCTGGATTGTGGCCAAGTCCTCCAGCTCCACGCTGCTCAGCTCAATGAAGTCACAGGAATGGCCTAAGTTTGTGCAATAAGAAGATTTTTGGTTTTCTTTCTTTCTTTCTTTTTCTTTTCTTCTTCTTCTTCTTTTTTTTTTTTAAAGATTCTTCGTTACATCTCCTTTCACAGTCTGTGAGAAAGGCACCCAGGTCAGACTGGAATTTGCTCTACAATAGAAATAACTGAACACGAACAAACTGACAAAAAATTTTTAACAAAGAGTTAACTATTTTATTTATTTCAATATTTAAAAGAAAGAGTGCTGACATTGCACACTATTTTTGTTTAAGTACCTTCTACTTCAAAAATTAAAAAGCAATTTTGTGAAGACATGGCATCAAAAGAGTACTTACTGTAAAATAAAGACTGACTATGGACTCTAAGGAAAATCCCACCCCCCCACCCCAACATTTTCAGTAAGAAAATAAAGATCAACTCTGCTCTCTCAGGCTTTTTTAAAAAAAAAAAAGAAAAAGAAAAAAAAAGCCATTCATGTATGTGCTTTAGATATTTTTATTTCTGCGAGTTGGATGTGGTAAGTGAGGAGTGATCAGTTTTTTTCCCCTTATTTTTTAAGGCTACTGAAAATGTTGGTGATGTTCAATGATTATGTGTTAAGACTTGACTAAAATAAATTAGCTTCAAATCAGCATTGTCTGCACACCTACTCCGCCTGTGCCCTGAACCCCAGGCAAGCCCATTGATCTGACCACAGAGAAGCAACAGCCTGCATCCTGGCCATGATGTCTCGTGAGGCCTGGCTAGGAAAAGAATTCCTAACATCTAGTGATGGATTATATTGCTGCAAGTCCAACAGGTTGGAACAGAGACAACTTTAAAATAATGTCATGAAGAAAAATTTTAAGAAGCAACAACAACAGCAGCAAAACAACAGCAAAAGTGAAGCAAAGCTGAAAGATGTTTAATTAGTTCAGTTAGTTCAGGAGTTGTCCTAAAAGGAGTTGACTTTCTGCTAAGCTGGCTTCGGGAACTTCAGATACTAGAGCTTTCCCCAAAGCTCTAGGAAGTTGACCTGAGTGATGGAAACAAGTTCAATGGCTTGTAGGGCAGGAGGAAGAAGGCAAATATTTCAATATGTCTTTTCATGCCCATGCTGGAAAGTGAACCCAAAATCCCATTCAGTGGAATTTGGCATTGTGTCTGTGCCCTAGGCAAAGAGGTCAGGTGGCTAGCTGGGTCTCTAAGGTTCTACCCATAGCCTTCCCTCTGGGCTGGGTCTTTTACACATCAATGCCCTGGGAGTTTCACTCCTTGGTAAGCAGAGTCATGGATAACACAGATTATAATACTCCTAGATCTAATGCTGGACATTCTTGTCAGCAAAGATCCTCGAGTCATAGTGTTACTGAGAATCTCTTTTGCCTTTGAAAGCAGAAGGTGTGGGCGGGCACAGACTTCCTGCCCGTCATTTCAGGTCTCTAATTCCAGGTCAGGCCCTGGAGGGTAGTGGGGGAGAGGGAAGACATCACCAAGAGTATTGTATCATTCTGTAGTCCCTTTTCTGTGACATTTTTCTCACAGAAAATGGCCCTTTTCAAAATGCTATTCATTGACTGTAAGAATCTGCACTCAATTCCCACCAAGTTACAATGTGTGTCCAATTGTGATAATGCTTTGCATCATGTAGGGTTTGTATGAAGTCTGTATGAAGTTTCTGTTAAATAAAAAGTCTGTTTCCAATTGTTCTATAGGATCTGTAAAGTTTGCTTCACCAAGCAACCTCATCCTACAAGGGTGCCTTTCACGCCGGCAGGTGGACAGGACTCCTGGAGTCTGCCCACTTTCCTGCCCTAGATTTGTTTTATTTAGAAGCACAGTCTGGGACAGCAGTTGCCACTGGCATGGCTGCCAGCTGGTGCCATGAATAATGCCCCTGGGTTGGTGCCAGCACAGGCGCTCTGAGCCTGGGGTGGTTGTCACTCATTCACCCACCCATTATCACCACCACCACCATCATTGCATCACTATAACCATGGCCATCACCGCACCACCCTCTCCCTGGCCCAAACGGATTGAAATCCTAATTGTATGTTTAGACTTAACATGCCTGCTCATCATTGCTTTTATCCCTATGCCAGAAGCAGAAGTCTGCATGATGATGAGAGATTTAGCATGCGCTTGGAGAAAGATGGGACAGTAAAGTTCCCACTATTGTATAAAAGGAGTGGTTGGGGCAGGTGCCGTAAGCTTGCCAACCTGTGCAGATGGCAGCTGGGCCCCTCTGGTGGTTTTTGGATACTCCTGTCTGATGGGTTTTCTAGATGAGTTAGGACAGGTCATCATGCAGGCCATGTCTGGCCCTCTGAGCATTCCCAGGCCCCACAGGGCTGGGTAAAGATGGAATGTGATGCTGTTGCTAGTTGGTTCTGTCTGCTTTTGGAATGAGGGTCATCTACAACTTTTCTTATGGACTGATGAGTTTCTCAAGCAGTAAAAGGAAGTTCCCAGTATGGTACCTTGTTAAGGATTTACCCCCCTTTTGATTGTAGTAAAATATACGAAAGCTAAAACTGATCACTTTAACTGTTTTTATGCATACTGTTCTATGGTAAAAGTACAATTTATGTAATTATGTGACCATCACCTCCTGCTCATTGCTACAACTTTTTCATCTTCCTCACCTGAAACCCTATACCTATAGCCATGAAACACTAACACTTCATTCTCTCCTTCCCCCGCTCCTGGCAACTACCGCTCTTCTTTCTGTCCCTGTAAATCCGACTACTCTAGGTACCTCAGATGAGTAAAATCATACAGTATTTGTTCTTTTGTCATCGACTTATTTCATTTAGCACGATAGCTTCAAGGCTCCTCTGTGTTGTACATATGTCAAAATTTCCCTCTTTAGGCTGGATATTTCATTGTATGTCTAAATCACATGTTTATTCATGTTTATCCACTTGGAGTATAAAGGAAGTTTATAGGTGTGAGACTCCCACTTCCTATATAGGGAATCCAAATTTGACACATCAGATTCAAGTCAGAGGTCATCCAGGGGATTAAATTTGTTTTTGTTTTTGTTTTTCTGGAAAGAAATGACCACACTTGAAAATTTCTCTCTGAGAGAAGGCTACCTTGATTCTTATAGGTGAACATTCTCTACCTAATGTGTCTTTCCTTGAGACTAAGGCTTTAGATAGTGGCTCAGGCTCACTTAAAGGGCTCATGAATTAGCATGCAGCTATAGTGTCAATGCAACTGATCAATGATAGAGGAGACTTAGGATAGTTAAATTCCCTCAATGGCTGACCATGAGTGAGGGACTACTTTGTTCAAATGTCTGCTGGTGAGCCCATTGGCCGATTTACACCTGAGGATGGTAGAAGGGGAAAGTATACAGGTGAGCCTGAGAATGAGAAAGAAAATGAGGACACTTTGCCTCCCCAACCTGGAAATGTATTAGTTACTATAAAGGCTAGCACTGCGGTTGTAGTTCAGTAGTCTCCAGAGCACAATGTGTCTTCAGTAAGCAAAGCAGGACAGGTGTGAGGAAAATCACTGTGTCAGGGGGTTGGAGAACAGCCATCTGGGATGACAGCACAGATAGACACAGATGACAGCTAAAGAGTAACTGCTCTGGGTAGGGCAGCTGCTACCCAAGAGGTGTTGCATGCTGGGATGTGATCCCAGGCTCTCCAGGTCTTTCAGCTTTTGAAGAGAGGTCAAATGTACTAAAACTTTTGATAAGACCTCTCCATTTTTAAATTTGGTTGTAAGTTAAACACTCTTGATCCATTTTGTGTGGACTAAACCCATGTGGTCATATCTTAGACCTATTTTGATGTTTTGGGATAGCTTTCCCCAAGGACTAGTAGTCTGCATAAGGCTAAAATTGAGGTCGGAAGGCCTTGTCCAAAATCCTTCATAAAGTAGGTCTTCATGCTATCTTGGGGATGCATCTCCTAGCATCCTGACTTGGAACTGTGAGGTGGTGGGACTGTGGTGGTGATCTGGCCTGTGATGGAGCTAGCTCATTATTCAGCACATGTTAGGGGTTAGGGATACGGTTCTAGGAGAGGACATTTCCTCTGCATGTACACCAGGTTCAGTGTTACACTGGGTTTAATCTAGAGTTTACTCTAAGCTAAGTTCCCTTTGAAACTCTAAGCAGAGTTCTGGGTTAGAGATAATGTTTCTGATCTTACCTAAGGTTCTTCAGTTAGATAGGAATTTGAGTTTTATCCTGTCCCCAAACCAGAATATTCAGAACTTCCTTTGATTAAAGTGTATGTGTAAATGTATGTGTGTGTGTGTGTGAGAGAGAGAGAGAGAGAGACAGACAGACAGACGGACAGACAGACAGATAGACACAGATAGACAGCTATTTCTTCCTTCAGAATCTCTGTTATTTAAAGATGCCTTTAAAATATTTTGCATTTTTATGCATCTTACTCGAGAGGATAGTTTTTAAGAGAGTTGAACTGGCATTGAAGTATGCAAACCCTACTCATTTAGGTCAAGGTTTTTCTCTTGTTTTCTTTCATGGGGAAGGGAAAGAGGTTATTTTGAATAGCAATCCATTTTGCTTATGATTTTATTATGGATATTGGAAAACTTTCTCTATAAAAACTTTGATAGTAAATATCTTAGACTTTGTAGGCCAGGCATCTGTCACAGCTGTTCAGGCCTGGGATTGTAGCATAAAAACCATCATACACAGTATGTATGTCAGTGAGTCAATAAAACTTTATTTATAAAAATTGGAGGCTGGGGGCTGAAGGTATATAGCTCAGTGGTAGAGAGCTTGCCTAGCATGCATGAGGCCTTGGGTTCAATCTCCAGTACCACAAAGCAAAAATTGGAGGCTGGATTTGGCCCATGGAGTATGGTTTTGCTGATCCCTGATTAAGAGAGCATGATACTGCTAATTTAGTTGATGGCAGTGCTGGTACTATTTAAGGCATTTCCTAAGCCTCAGGACTAAGAAGAATTTCCTATCACCAGGGAAAGACTAGAAGTGCATTTCATCATTAGTAATGTAAGCTTTTTAAAGGTCTCTACAATATTTCAGAGCTGAAAAGTACTACCACAAGGTATTTGAAAACTCAGTGCTGAGCCCAAACCACAACAGAGTGATGTTAGGCAAAGTTATCTACAAATAACTACGTCCCACATGTCAGTGACTCCCTGAGGATGTGAGGATGAATACTATTCATCTCTAGCAACTTAGGTTTTTTTTTTAAGTATGAAAAATGGCAAGTGGCCCCTAGAGGTGAGGTGAACATAGATATAAGAGTTCTTCTACGTGAGATAAATGATAAAAGACATTTAGTGGAGCCCATCTTGGGAAGTATGGAGTTGCTACAGGTAAAAAGATGGTCTCTGAAGCTGAGCCCAGAGGCTCATGCCTGAGTGAAAATCTTAATGTCTAAACATCAGTTGATCATGTGTTGGTTCCTGTTTCTGGGAGACCTGTGAGGTAGGGATGTAAAGAAGCAGCAACAATACCAACCATTATTGAAGTGATGTCTTTTAGCCATTTCTACAGGACAATTGTTTGAAGAGGATCAGTGACTTTTAGGATCTCGGGGTAATTTTTAAAGGGCTTTTATAAGTTTTCTGAGCAAGTTTCCTGAAAAGGGGAGTTAGTTGTGATTATCATGTTAAATGTCTTCTCCATTTTCTTCATGTTTCACCCTTTGCTATCATCTGAGGTCATCCAGAAGTCAGTTTTCAGGCACTGACTAAGAGGAAGAAGATGACTCAGAGGAAGGCACAGAATCTCACGTTTGATTTTACTTCAATGTGGTATGATCAGCACACATCCCTTGGTTGCATGATCTTCTCTTATACGATAGTAGAAAATACAGCGATCATCAGTAATTTGGCATTGACACTATT